CTGTACTATAATACCTCCCAGTAACTGGAATTATTATATATGTATATGTCAGAAAGGTAACATATTTTTGTACTAAATAGGAGATTAAATTAGATTACCTGTTCTTATTCTTTATTCAATTTAAAATTCAGCAAATAGAGTGAGGATTTCAAAGACTAAGCTCAATTATTTACGTAAACCTAGATACTACAATAATTCTGCCTCTGTTTCAGAGTGAAAATGTGATAAAGGAAGAAAAAGAGGGCTATCTGAATACGTATTCAAAGTACTGCTTAAGAGTAGCTTTGTATCGGAACAAAAATCAAAACACTTTTTTTTAATCCTCACTTGAGGACATTTTTCCATTTTTGTTCAGATAGAGTGGAGGGGAGAGAGAGGAGTTGAGGGAGAGGGAGAAACATTGATGTGAAAGGGACACATTGAGTGATTGCCTCCCACGGGACCCAACCAGGGCCAGGGACAAACTGCAACTGAGGTACGTGCCCTTAGCGGGAACCGAACCCGGGTCTCTCCAGACCCAGGCCGACGCTCTAACCGCTGAGCCAAACCGGCCAGGGCCAAATATCAAAACATCTTATTGCAATTTTATTTTAAAAAACAACCAACCTAACTTTAAACATTATGGCTTGTATGGTTTGCAAACTAGCAACATTCTGTAAGAGTTAAACGTGACTTTTTGTCAAAACAAGCAATTTTAACTTGAACTGCACATGGGATGATTGCCATCTGATTTTTATTCTCCAGCAGTTTAACCTGGTTTTCTTCATGTGTTGTAAGTATGAAAAATTAGGTGGAACTGTGAAAAGAGTTCTTCTAAAAAGAGATTTTTTAGCCTATTTATTTTCCTCATGAGGAAAAAGAATCCCCAGGGTGAAAAAGCTGATCTTAAAGTATGCTATTATCTCTCACTTATCTACAAGTGACATTTTAATACTTTAATAGGCTTTGATTTATACTACATGGTAACTACAAATAAAATTAAAATTGTAATACGTTAATTAAAATGAGGGAGAAAACCCTAAAGTAAAAGTTTAATCTTTATGCCCTTGCCTCTTTATCTTGGCTAGTTTTTAGCCAAGAATTGAGTGGAACTTCTCTAGCAAAATAGCAGTTGAATTTGTTAATCTTTTAAAATATGCCCTGAGCATTTTATAATAGTTATCCAGCTATGTAAAAAAAACAATGGGACTTGCCCAGGCCGGTTTGGCTCTGTGGTTAGAGTGTTGGCCCACAGACTAAAGAGTTGTTGGTTCGATTACTGGTCAGGGGCACGTACCTCAATTGCGTGTTGGATCACTGGCCCTGGGCAGGGTTGTGCAGGAGGCAACCAATCAATGTGTCTCTCACATCGATGTTTCTCTCTCCCTCTCTCACCCTCCCTCTCTCTCCCTCTCACCCTCTCCCTCTCATTTATCCTCCCTCCCTCCCACTCTATCTAAAAAGAAAATCAATGGAAAAATATTCTCGGGTGAGGATTAAAAAATAAACCAATAAATAATAAAACTGCAATTATTCTGTCATATTATTTGCTTATAATTTGTAATTCTCCAAATCATTTTTTTCAGTATTCACTCCAAGGTCATATTCACATGTAAAAATCTGGTTTCTTTACTTTTCCCCCCTTCTTTTTAATCTTTCCACTAAAATGGACACTGGTGTTTGTTTAATCTGTGGGTTTTGTTTTGTTTGTTTGTTTTTTTTGTCTAACCTGTGGTTTTATTGAAACCCCTTATACTAGCAGAACATCTCTAGCGGTTGATGTATTTATTCAACAGACACCAGTTAAATGATCATTATCAAGTGCTGAAGATACAGCAGTAAATAAGACAGCCAAAGCCCCTGCTTCATAGAGCTTACATTCTAGAAGGAAAAATACAAATGAAGACATGATTATAAGGACAGTAGTAATGTTAGCACAGGGTAAGTTAAGGGTGCAGAGTGAAGTCCCGTTTAACCTAAGATCTGAAGGGATAGAATAATCTATCCTAATTAAGTGGTGGTGGGTAGAAAGAGATGAAGAATCTTTGAAAATCTGGAGGTGAGTGAGAGCAGAGAGCATGAGAGACATCAATACGGGTGAGAGATCAAAGGGAATAGTGTCAAGAAATAAGGCTGAGACAGTAGGTAATGCATGAGGGCCTTTCAGGTTTGCCAAGATTTATTTTATCTAGTGGGCTTTGAAATACACACACACACACACACACACACACACACACACACAGAGGCTTTTTTTTTTTAATAGCAGGGGAATGATAGAATCACATTTCTCATTTCTGACATCCTCTGCATGTGAAATAGAGAAGGAATCTGAGAAGGACAGTGTGGAAAGTCTGGGAAACCAAAAGTATTATTGTAACATTTCAGCCAAGAAATAATGGTGGCTTAGACTTAAGTAGTAGAAGGTGGGAAAGAGAAAAGAGGACGTATTTGAGAGCGAGTTCAGAAGTGTACTGTCCGCAAGGTCTAACGATAACCAGGTGTGGGAGCTAGAAAGAAGACTAAGTAGAGGCAAGGACAGTCTTCAGTGCCTGGCGTAAGCATCCCAACATGGATGATAATACAATTTTCTGTATTAGACAAAACAAGGCAGTGAACAAATGAAATTTTTGTTTAGTCTTTTGATGGGTCTGTTAGTTTTCTATTGCTGTGTAACCAATGACCACAAACTTAGCAGCGGAAAACAATAGTCATTTATTGACACACAAATAAATAGTCATTTATTTAGTTCCATAGGCCAGATGTCCAGCAGACACTTAGTGTCTCACAAGCCCAAAATCAAGGTGTAGGCTGGGCCAGGTTCTTATCTGGAGGCTATGGGGAAGAAACTGCTTCCAAGGTCATTTAGGTTATTGATAGAATTCTGTTCCTTGTCATTGTAGGAGTTAGTTTCTCATTTTTACTGACTGTTGGCCAGGGGTTCCCTAGAGACCACTCTCCGGGTTTTTCCAAGTGTTCCCCGCGACTGTCAAACAAGAGTGGCGTGCAGAATTGACCTCCTTCTTTAAGTTTCTAACGTGTCTGCTACCAGCTGGATACATTCTCTGCTTTATAGGCTCATATGATTAGAGCGGGCACTCAGGTAATCTCCCCTTTGCCATCTAATGGAGCATAAACAAAAACTAGAGGGTGAGTGTCCTGGTGGGGACTCTCAGAATTCTGCCTGTCGTAGGGAAGTGGACAGAGAGTTTCATCTCAGATTAAAGTTAAGGTTGAAGAGCCAGCAAGACGGATTTGAGATAGAAGTTGGATTATGTCTGGAAATGTATATTAGAACTATCATAAATCCGCAGAAAAGATGAGATTGCCTACTGAGAGAGGATAGGGTGATCGGAGGCCTTAGAGAACTTCATAATGTAATGACGGAGTAGAGAAGAAGGCGCTGATAAAGGAAGCTCAAAAGCACCAGCTAGAGATGTAGGTAGAAACTCCATCATGTGATGTCATGAAAGTCAAGAGGAGGGTTTTGAGGAATGGGAAATAGCCAATGTCATATACTCTTGTGCTTTTGGGTGTGAAGGGGGAGGGAGAATTACTAGGCACACTTATTTCTGCCATGATATAACACTCTTATGTTCTAGAGTGCACACATGTGTTCACACACCTGGGAAGTTTTATAACCACAGTATTTTATGAGTCATTGCTTTCTACTTAAGAGAAAAGAGGTTCGGGTGACAGAAAATGAATGACAATATTATCTTTAAGAATTCTTTCCTTGGTTGGCCCTGGCCCTGGCCCTGGTTAGAGCATCGGCCCGCGGACTGGAGAGTCCTAGGCTCGGTTCCCGCTAAGGGCATGTACCTCGGTTGCAGTTTGTCCCCCGCCCGGGTTGGGGTCGTGTGGGTGGCAACCACTTGATGTCTCTCTCACATGGATGTTTCTCTCTCTCTTTCTCTCTTCCTCCCTCTCTCCCTCCCGCTCTATCTGAAGCTAAATGCAAAAATGTCCTTGGGTGAGGATAAAAAAAAAAATCTTTTCTTAGCTACTCTTTTGTAAACTTAAGAGTTAGAATCTCAGTAGAACAGCTGCTCTCACCAGTAACAATAGCTAATACATAGCTCTAAATATGCACCAGTTACTGATCTTAGTGCTTTACCTGCATTAACTCATATCAGCTGTGTATCCCTGTCTCAAATGGGGTACAGATGAAGAAGCAAGGTAGTAGAGATGTAAGGTACAGCACTTTATTCAAAGTACATCCCAAGTCAGTGACAGATAAGTTTTAGAATAGTTCAAATTTTGATTGCTGCAATGTGTTTTTTAAGAAATTTATGGCCCTGGCCAGTGGTTAGAGCATCAACCCACTGACCAATGACTCCTGGGTTCGATTCAGGTCAAGGGGACGTACCTCGGTTGCAGTTCATCCATGGTCAGGGTCGTGTGGGAGGCAAGCAGTCGATGTGTCCCTCTCACATCGATGTTTCTCTCTCCCACTCTATCTGAAGATAAATAGAAAAATATGCTTGGGTGAAGATTAAAAAAAAAAGTTGTATAATCTTTCTGATCATCATTACAGTGACTTAGCTTTTAACATGGTCTAAGTCTCTTCCTTTCCAAGAAGAGAAATAAATACCCTATATAAGTAAAGCAGTGTGATAAAATGTTTGCAATATAAAAATTGATGTTTTTGTGTGATAAAATGAAACCCTGCAACAAAACATGCTCTGCAGATTACATGAATTTAGAAATGGTATTGATGGCTAACCTTCATAGTAAACCATCTGTCAATTCACCAACCTCTCAGTTATGTAGCTATTTTACTAGTTAAATGTTTCGGATCCATTTATAGTATTTTGCTGGGTTTTACTTCATTAATCTGTGTAGATGGTGCATAAACTCCAGAGGGCACTGTTCACATAGACTTGCACGTTTGGCAACCCTGTGGGGGGAAAAAACGTTGAAGTTTAACATGATGAATGATTTGCATCAGCACAATTAATTTTTTGCTACCTGTTTCCTGAAAACAAACCCAGATGCGAAAGAGTGTCTTATTGTCTTTGCAGGCGAGGAATTGCCTTGGCCTCCTTAGGAGGCCCGATTTATGCAATTGGAGGGCTAGATGACAACACTTGCTTCAACTATGTGGAGAGATACGACATAGAGTGTGATCAGTGGAGTACAGTGGCGCCAATGAATACGCCCCGGGGAGGGGTTGGCTCTGTGGCTCTGATAGTAAGTGATACGGTGGCTTGCTCATTGGACTGCATTGCATCACATCTCTAACCAAATAGGAAATATCTGAGATATTCGTGTCTTCTGTATGCACATATTGATTATATACTGTATTATTTCACAAAATGCTTGCTTTCTTTTTTTATCCTCACCCAAGGACATTTTTGCATTTATCTTCAGATAGAACGGGAGGGAGAGAGGGAAGAAGGGAGAAACATCAACGTGAGAGAGACACATCGAGTGGTTGCCACCCGTATGACCCCAACTGGGACCAGGGACAAACCGCAACTGAGGTACTTGCCCTTAGCGGGAACCGAACCTGGGACTCTCTGGTCCGCGGGCCAACGCTCTAACCGCTGAGCCAAACCAGCCAGGGCCACAAAATGCTTTCTTTCAAGATTCTAATTGAACATTAGGATAATATATAAATTCCATTGTAATCTATTTTTATTTTCTAACTTGATGTTATTTTCTTTTTACTTAGAACCACGTTTATGCAGTAGGTGGCAATGATGGCGTAGCGTCTTTATCTAGTGTGGAGAGGTATGATCCACATCTGGATAAGTGGATAGAAGTTAAAGAGATGGGTCAGCGAAGAGCAGGCAACGGAGTTAGTGAGCTCCATGGCTGCTTGTACGTTGTTGGTGAGTGGACAATGTTTCTCTGCTCTAGTTTATTATAGGATACACGGTGACAGTGTTATAAAACAACAGAGTAACACAAATTGTATTGCATTTAGATTCAAGTGGAATCAGTCCTAAGGTTTTGAATTCTTAGCGTTCACATCCATGCTTTTTTGTTTACATCTTCCTCTTTCAAGTTTAAAACTTCTACCTCCATATTTTCACTAGGAGTGGCAGGTACCTCTGAAGTAAGGGATTACATTTACACAAGATGTATATGTTTAGGTCTAAGGACACAAATTGAATGTGCTTTGCTAAAATCTTTTAAGATCGAAGACATGGTTTTCTCATCTCATGGGAATTATGTTGACTGAACAAACCAGTAGGTATTTCATATGCATAATGGATATTGGCATCTTTATATTGCATTATTTATTTATTTATTGTTAATCTTCACCAGAGGGTATTTTCCCATTGATTTTTAGATAGAGTGGAAGAGAGGGAGAGGGAAAGAGAAACAATGTGAGAGAGACACATCGGTTGGTTGCTTCCCGGACAACTCCAACCAGGGCCAGGGATCAAACCTGCTGCGTAGGTATGTGCCCTTGCCTGGGAATTGCACCCATGGCTCTTCGGTCCAAAGGCCAACACTCTAACTGCTGAGCCACGCTGGCCAGGGTGATACTGCTTTTTGACTTACTGAACTGCAGAGTTGAAAGGAACCCTAGGGCAGTGCTTTCTCAAACTTCAATATAAATGTGAATAACCTGGAGATACTTTTAAACTGCAAGGGAGGGGTCCAGATTCTGTATTTCTAACAGTTCCCAAGTGATCATTGATGCTACTTCTGGTCCACTCTCTTCCAGTAGTAAGGCTTTAAAGGACGAAGAAATGGGAATTTTAATGCCTGTCTTTCAGAATTGTTTCAAGAATTAGAGGTAATAAAATGTTAAGCATCTCACCCTGCACTGGCACTTTGTAGTTACCCAATGAGTGGGTAGCTGAATTGGGATTAGGGATCCCTTCCTTTGCAGAGGAAGAAATGAGTTCAGAGAGGTTGTCATTGTACACGTCATACTTCTGTTGATGTAAATTGTTTGGTGTTGCATAACTTACAAGTTTTGATAAGAAAGGGAGATTTTGTTAGTGTTTAAATATCTGCAAGTAATAGAAGTAATACTGAATCTTCCAGGGCTCATATGTATTAAAGAAGAGGAGAAATCACACGTTTACTTTTAGATCTTGTCCAATTGTAGCAGTTCTGTGAGGGAGACTCGGCGAGGTGAATCATTTACTCATAGTCTTGTGCCTAAACTAGTGACAGAGCTGGAATGTGAAAGCAGGTCTCTGAGCAACCAGAGTTTACAGTACATTGCTGCTCCGTCTCCCGGCTCCCTGTCCAGCATCGGCATTGCTGTGTTATGTCAACAGAGTATCCTTGTTGCTGTTACTTTTAAATCTAACCTTACAGTTAGAACACATATGGCAAGAATAAGACAGACTCAGGTTGAACATTAAAAATCCTCTCTTGGTCTTCATATCCTACTTTAAAAGGTATGATTTGAGTAAGAAAGCGTTGGAAGTAACTGGATGAACATATCTCACAAGCTAGTTGCATCCTTTTTTCCTCTGCTTGAAATTCTTCCTTACAAATTGCTGTGAATTACCTAGGGGAAGACGGAGCCAGTGCAAAAGAGGGCTGTAGAAAATATAATTGAAAAGACATATCCTCGCCCTGGCCGGTTTGGCTCAGCGGTTAGAGCGTTGGCCTGCGGTCCTGAGAGACCCGGGTTCGGTTCCCGCTAAGGGCATGTACCTCGGTTGCAGTTTGTCCCCGGCCCTGGTTGATCGTGCGGGTGGCAGCCACTCGATGTGTCCCTTTCATGTCGATGTTTCTCTCTCTCTCTCTTCCTCTCTCTCCCTCCCGCTCTGTCTGAACAAAAAAATGGAAAAATGTCCTCGGGTGAGGATAAAAAAAGAAAAAAAAAAGAAAAGACATATCCTCTATGTTAGCATGAGCAACAAAATCTGAACCCTTTATTTTAATGAAAATGTTTTATATCATGGTTGTGTATACATTTGTTTAAATCCTTCAAATTATGCACATAAAATTCATGAATTTTACCTCAATTAAATTGATTAAATCAAGTTAAACCCATTAGAGAAGTTGACTCTGTTGAAATTATTTTTACTGACCTTGTTTCTAAGTAGACTATTCATAATATCAACACTTCCTGTCCTCAGGAAAATAGGCTTAGTCACCAAAGAGAACCACTACTCAGTGAGACTGAGATGGAGCCTGAAGAGACACATTTATTTTTAAAGGAAAGAGCACTGTTAAAACAACAGTCTCTGTCTAACCCTGAGGAATATTATAAGTAACATTGTCAGAGTGAACTATAAAGAGGACAGTCATAACCTGGAGTATGTAGCATGAAGATGTAGTTTTGGCAAACATTGGTAAGAATCCAGTCATAGTTTACCATCTGTAATTATGGTGGCAATTACAGTATTATATCTAAATGAGTCAATGACTTAGTGTATGTAGTTTATTCTCTTCTCAAGCCCTGTTACTCTTCAAAAGTATGACGCACACATGTTCACAGGGAGGAATCTCAGTGCGGTCTTGCTTGCCCCTAGGAAAATTATATGAAGTCTGTTTTTTTGTGTGTTTTTTCCCCCTTTTCTCTTAAGTTACCTGCTTTGATACAGGGACTCCAGTTTTTTCTGCCTTAAGATTTTTAATCCTAGCTTTGAGGTAAAATACTATTTCAGTTATCGTGAATTATAGAAAATGTCTAAAAGGAGTTGGTAGTGGTGATAGGTGTCGAGGTGAATTTTTTTTCCATTTTCTCTGTTTTTTAAAATGTTTTTAAAAGATTGGGTTTGAGCCCTGGCCAGTTTGGCTCAGCGGTTAGAGCATCGGCCTGCGGTCCGGAGAGACCCGGGTTCAGTTCCCGCTAAGGGCACGTACTTCGGTTGCAGTTTGTCCCCGGCCCTGGTTGGTCGTGTGGGTGGCAGCCACTCGATGTGTCCCTTTCACATCGATGTTTCTCTCTCTCTCTCCCTTCCTCTCTCTTCCTCCCACTCTATCTGTACAAAAAAAATGGAAAAATATCCTCGGGTGAGGATAAAAAAATAAAAATAAGTAAATAAATAAATAAAAGATTGGGTTTGAGAAGCTATTAAAGACTTAGCAATTAATTTCTATGAAATGTAATGTTTTTAAAAATGTTTCTCTATGTAGGTGGTTTTGATGATAATTCTCCTCTGAGTTCGGTCGAGCGGTATGACCCTCGAAGCAACAAGTGGGATTATGTCGCAGCACTTACCACTCCCAGGGGTGGAGTGGGGATCGCAACGGTGATGGGCAAAATCTTTGCAGTCGGTGGTCATAATGGCAATGCATACTTAAATACAGTAGAAGCATTTGATCCAGTGCTGAATAGGTAATTTTTGTTTTCTCTCTGCTTTAATGGGACTTCTAGTAACTGATCACTTCATAGTGCTAAGATGCTGCTAGATGTAGTTAATATAAAACATTTGGGATAGCTTACCTCCCTTAGGAAGCTTGGTGTCTTTCAAAGCCAGTCCCATAATAGGCCGTTTTTATCTTGGTTGGTATTTTGAGTAAAGTAAATCATGCTTTGCTTTAAGATAACATTCTTTCTCCTCTGTCTTTTCAGGTGGGAGCTTGTTGGATCTGTGTCTCACTGCAGAGCGGGGGCAGGTGTCGCTGTGTGTGCCTGTTTAACCAGCCAAATTCGAGATGTAGGTCATGGATCCAATAATGTGGTCGACTGTATGTGATTTGAGTTCCAGCCATCAACAATTTAGTCATATCTGATAGTCAAGAAAGACAACCAGGATTTTGTATGACCCTCTTTGTACAGTTTTAACTACTACTAGAATCTTATTTAAATGTAAACTGTGTATTGTGACTAAGTGCAACTTTTGGAATAGCAGCTGAAGAATTATTAGTAATAAAGTTAAATTTGATTCTTCCCTCTTTAGCAAGTAATGGAGTAAGACCATACCTTCTCTGTAAGATGTTTAAAGTAGTGCAAACGTTGAAATCCCCATTTAAAAAAGTGGATGAATCAAAATGTAAAATAGTCATTTGCTGAGTTTTACTTATTTTTGTCTAATGGTGTTAGCTTTAGGCAGTGGATTTTTCCTAGAGGGGAGATTAGAATCTTCATCAACACCAGGATACCAAGATAGTAAGAGACCTCCTTTTGAAGAGCAATTCTACTTGATGCTGATGAATTTATGCCTTGCTTTTTTCTAGGTGTTGATTGTTCAATTTCTTGGATATTTACAGAAGTAGAAACAAATGTTTGATCTCTCCACATGCCACTTAGGAGTGTTCTTTTTTTTTTTTGTCCTCACCTGAGGACATTTTCCCATTTTTTGTTCAGACAGAGTGGGAGGGAGAGAGAGGAAGAGAGAGAGAGAGGAGAGAGAGAAACATCGACGTGAAAGGGACACATCGAGTGGCTGCCTCCCACACGACCCAACCGGGGCTGGGGACAAACTACAACCAAGGTATGAGCCCTTAGCGGGAACCGAACCCGGGTCTGTCCGGACCACAGGCTGACGCTCTAACCACTGAGCAAAACCAGCCAGGGCTGATAGGAGTGTTCTGAGATCTTAATTTCAGTTGGAATTGTTAGGACACCAAAGATCTAGCTGAACGAATGTATACTTTTATTTTTTCCTCTCATACAAAAAAGGAACTTTTTCATAATAAGCAAAAATTGAACCAGAGTAAATATTAGAGGAAGGCTTTAGAGTTGATGTTATTCTAGTGCCCAGTCAAGAGACCTTGAGAAAGAATGGAACTGATTATGTGACTCCCTAGTGAGGGGAACCTGAAAATATGTTCAACACTCTTTTTTGATGTAATCATTTGATTTTGAACTTTCTGTTTTGCTATTTGCCACCATCCTGTACAGAATCTGGATTAATTTATTATCATAAAATGAATGCATTTTTACGTAAACCCTATATAGACTGTAGGTTACTGATTAGTTCAAGTCCATCATTACCAATAAAAGACATTGTTGGTAAAAACAGAGAAAGGTTAAACTGGCCAAAAAAAAAAAAAAGAAGAGAGAAAGATTGAACTACTCTTTTTTCTATTTTATTTAATTCCCTCCAGTATATTAATTTAACTTTGAAAATATTTCTGTATATTTACTTCAAGCCAGGGTATTCATACACCTACTGATTTAACAGCTCTTAATGGTTTTAACCAGCATTATAATATGGCCTATTCATTATATGTATATATTTTTATAAATATTTATGAAGGATATTTTGTATTTGCAATGCGGTTTAGTACTTCTCATCTAGGCCTTCCTTAATTTTCCTTTAGTCGTGCCTTTCGTTGCTGGTCAGTCATTTGGTTCACAAGGGAGCAGGGCAGTGAAGAACACCAACCCCATCTGCAGTTCATTGCCTAGTAGCTCTGGTGGTCTTCATTAGAATGGCAGCCTGGGCTTGTCAGTGCAGAAGGTCCAAAAGCCAGTGCTTATTGGGTATAATGGACAACCCTCCTCCCACCCCTGAAAAAGAAAAAAAAATAGTAAGCAGGCTTAGGCTAGCAGAAAAAGGTCTTTCATGCTATAGATTTAAAAGTTCCCTACTTAGCCCTGACCGGTTTGGCTCAGTGGTTAGAGCGTCGGCCCACAGACCAGAGAGTCACGGGTTCAATTCCACTCAAGGGCAGGTACCTTGGTTGTGGTTCGTCCATGGCCCTGGTTGGGGTCGTGCGAGGCAACCAGTTGATGTGTTACTTTTACATCGATGTTTCTCTCTCTCTCTCTCTCTCTCTCTCTCCCCCTCTCCCCCCGCCCTTCCTCCCTCCCTCTCACTCTATCTGAAGGTAAATAGAAAAATATCCTCGGGTAAGGATTAAAAAAAAAGTTCCTAGTTTAAGCCATTTTTTTCGTAAGCCTATGGGCAGGTTTGTATGTCATTGCTGGATCTGAACAGTGTTCTCTTATATAACTATAACTGTATTTCAATCAGTCCCAAAAGCATTAGCTCTACAGCACTTACCTAGACTAGCTACAACTGGCTGGATGTAGAGACTAAGTGACTCAGTCTCAAAACCTGATTTTGACTGTGTGTTTCTCCTATCTAATGGCATTCTTGTATTCAGTGCTTGTCTAGCTGTGGTTAGGAGTATGTTTGTGGTTTATTTTGTGGTGAAGGGGATTTTGATTTTATTTCTAAGATTATTTAAAATGTTTTTTCGTTTAAGAGTTCTGCCTTTGTCACAGAGTATAGGAACAGAAAGAAGTTACACTTCCAATTCTGGTTTTGAGTATACAGTAGTCATCTAACATTAAGTAGGTACCCCCGCTACCCATAAAATATGAACTACTCATAAGGGAAATCAAGTGAAGTAAATGGAACATGTGTCTGTCCCAGCGTGTGAGGGCAGCCAGAGCGCAGCCTTGAAGGACCTGACTGTGGTACAAAGAGATAATAGTGGAATCACCACGCACAGTCTCTTTATCAGACACATTCTTTGAGATATGAAATGAGAATCAGGCTGAAGGAATCATGCAGTTGAAAGATGATTGTGTTCATCAGCATAAAGAGATGAAATATTCAGAGATGGCTCCTTAATTGTCAGGCCTGTTACCTTAACCTCAGATGTTAATAGCACCTACCAAAAAGTGATGTAAAATAGAGGTACGTTTTGAAATTGTAAATGGAAAAAAGAAAGTGAAAATGTGCATGTAATTTCTTCAAGATGTATTTCTAGGTGTGTTTGTGTGAATCTTCCATACAGTCATTAAAGCCACTGCTGTCTCATACTGCACTGCCACTTTAAGAACAAATGACTTGATATTGTTGACTAATTTCACTATATTCTGTGTAACTGACTGATTATTTTTAAATGTTTGAGTACATTTTGTATTCCCTCTAAGGAGTATTATTTATTGTTTTAATTCCCAAATGTATTTTGAACTTCAGATGCTGTTAAAAGCTTAGTTAAGAGATTGTTGAGGTTGCATAAACTATTGCTAATGGTAAACATGAAACATTTTTTTGTTCCTTTCTTCTCCGAGTGTTATATGGTAGAGAAGGCATTTAGAATCTAATGCCTGTCTTATCAGTTAAGAATGTTTTCTGTGGTTTCTCACCTCAGACTTTAAAGAATTATTATTGGGATGTCATCGGCTCTCTTTCCCCCCCTTTTTGTGGATTTATAAGTGGCTAAACTTCAATATAATATTTTCTTAAAACCATACGTAAATTTGTTTAGTAATACTCCAGAGCAAATCAAAATAATAAATTGTCATCTACACTGTTAAGTACTGAGATCAAACAGTTGGGTTCATATCAGTGCTATTTATTGATTAAATATATTGCATGCATCTATTATGAATAGGAACATCTTTCTATAAGGTTGATAGAACTTTGCTTTTCATTGTGTGGTTCCTTTTATAGAATCATTTCAACAATATAATTATTTCCATCTCTCAAATACAAATCAAATTAGGTTGACTATAATATTTTTCTCACAAAAAGGATCTGTTTAATTAAAAATAGGAATATTTTTGTTACTCTTACAAAAGTTAGTCATTACCATGACCAAGTGGGATTCATTCCAGGGATGCAAGGCTGGTACAATATTTGAAAATCAATAAATGTGATACACCATATAAACAAAATGAAGAATAAAAACCACATAATCATATCAATAGATGCTGAAAAAGTATTTGACAAAATCCTGCATCTATTTCTGATAAAAACGCTCAGCAGTGTGGGAATAGAGGGATCATATCTCGACATAATAAAGGCCATATATGAAAGACCTACAGCCAACATCATACTCAATGGGCAGAAACTAAAAACATTTAAGAACAGGAACAAGACAGGGATGTCCACTTTCGCCACTCTTATTTAACATAGTACTGGAAGTCTTAGCCACAACAATCAGACATGAAGAAAAAAGGGATCCAAATTGGAAAGGAGGAAGTGAAACTCATTATTTGCAGATGACATGATATTATACATAGAAAACCCTAAAGACTCCATCAAAAATCTACTAGACTTAATAAATGCATTTGGCAAAGTAGCAGGACACAAAATTAACGTCAAGAAATTGACTGCATTCGTATACACCAATGATGAACTCACAGAAAGAGAAACTGAAAAAACAATCCCATTTACCATCACGCCAAAAAAATTACGATACCTAGGAATAAACTTAACCAAGGAAGTAAAGGACCTATTTGCAGAAAACTACAGGACATTGAAAAAAGAAATATAGGAAGATATAAAAAAGTGGAAGCACATACCTTGTTCATGGATTGGAAGAATTAACATCATTAAAATGTCCATACTACCCAAAGCAATCTATAGATTCAATGCAATCCCCATCAAAATACCAACGACATACTTCACAGAACTAGAACAAATACTTCAAAAGTTCATATGGAACCAAAAAAGACCCCGAATAGCCACAGCAATCTTGAAAAAGGACAAAGTAGGTGGGATCACAATACCAGATATCAGGTTATACTACAAAGCCACTGTAATCAAAACAGCCTGGTACTGGCACAAGAACAGGCATATAGACCAGTGGAACAGAACTGAGAACCCAGAAATGGACCCAAGGCAATATGCTCAATTAATATTTGACAAAGGTGGCAAGAGCATACAAGACAGCCTCTTTAATAAATGGTGTTGGGAAAATTGGACAGCTACATGCAAAAAAATGAAACTAGACCATCAACTTACACCATACACAAAAATAAATTCAAAGTGGATAAAAGACTTAAATGTGACTTGTGAATCCATAAAAATTCTAGAAGAAAATGTAGGCATTGAAATTTCGGACATCATACGCAGCAGAATTTTCACTGATACATCACCTAAGGCAACAGAAACAAAGGAAAAAATGAACACATGGGAATACATCAAACTAAAAAGCTTCTGCACAGCAAAAGAAACAACCATCAAAATGGAAAGGCAACCCACTGTATGGGAGAACACCATTGCCAATGATATATCAGATAAGGGGTTAATTTCCAAACTATATAGAGTGCTCATACAACTCAACAAAAGGAGAACAAAGAACTCAATTTAAAAATGGGCAGAGGAGCTGAATAGACACCTCTCTAAACAGGACATACAAATGGCCAAGAGACATATGAAGAAATTCTCAACATCACTAATCATCAGAGAGATGCAAATTAAAACAACAATGAGGTATCACCTCACACCTGTCAGAATGGCCGCCATCAACAAATCAATAAATAACCAGGTTGGCGAGGGTGTGGAGAAAAGGGGACTCTAGTACACTGCAGGTGGGAATGCAGACTGGTGCAGCCACTAAGGAAAACATATGGTGTTACCTCAAAAAATTAAAAATTGAACTTCCATTTAGCCCAGTGATCCGCTTCTAGGAATATTCCAAAAAGCCTGAAACACCAATCAGGAAGAATATATGTACCCCCATGTTTATAGCAGCACTATTTACAATAGCTAAGATCTGAAAACAGCCCAAGTGTCCATCAGTAGACGAATGGATAAAAAAGCTGTGGTACATATACGCAGTGGAATACTATGCAGCTGTAATAAAGAAAGATCTCTTATTCTTTGAGACGACATGGAGGGACCTGGAAAGTATTATTCTTAGTGAAACAAGCCAAGCAGAAAAAGACAGATACCACATGATCTCACCTATATACAGAATATAATGAACATAACAGTCTGAGGAATAGGGTAGACCCAGAAACATGAAAGTTGGGTACAGACTGACAACCCTCAGAAGAGGGGGTGGTGGGGGTGGGAAGAGAGAAACCACAGAACTTATATGCATGTATGCATAACCAACGGACATGGACAACAAAGCGGGGGTGGGGTGGGGGGGTGGGGAGGGGGTTGCCAATGAGGTGAAAAAAAGAAACATCTGTAACAAAAATAAATTTAAAAAAAGTCATTTCACGAACCTTAGTGACTGATTATAAGCAATTGTCTCTTCAGCAGTTGCAGACTTGTACTGTATAGAAATTCGTTTTTTTGCATTAAAATGAATGTTGTCCTTCCAAGGAGTTACCTCGTGAAGCTATAATTTGGGGTTTTGTTTTGTTTTGTTTTGTTTTTTTAGCTATGTTGCCATTGCTAAAAACTTTTCTGAAGAGTCCATTTGTAAGTCATCTAAGAAAATTTGTCTCATGATAGTCATATGTTAATTTTGAGCAATGTCTTAATTTGATTTTGGCCCAGTGTACTTTATTCATCAGACTTGATTCAAAATATTTTATGCTCATCACAGGTGAAATTTACCCTCAAAGAATGTTTTCTTACCCTGGAATTTTTTTTTTTTTTTCTCAAAAGTAAACAGTTGCCCTGGCCGGTTTGGCTCAGCGGTTAGAGCGTCGGCCTGCGGTCCGGAGAGACCCGGGTTCGGTTCCTGCTAAGGGTGTGTACCTCGGTTGCAGTTTGTCCCCAGCCCTGTTTGGTCGTATGGGTGGCAGCCACTCGATGTGTCCCTTTCACATCGATGTTTTCTCTCTCTCTCTCTTCCTCTCTCTCCCTCCCACTCTATCTGTACAAAAAATGGAAAAATGTCCTCAGGTGAGGATGAAAAAAAAAAAAAAAGTAAACAGTTTTAGTGGAAAGTTACTCAAATTACCCTGAGCAAAAGCAACTTCCGTAAAGGAAATGTACAGTTTTTCAGAGGGGAAATCTTATTTGAATGCAAAAATTCTGGTGGTTTTTGTTGATGTTTTAACAAATCACTCTTCTATTATCTTAATGGTTGAGGCTAAATTCAGTCCATGGGGAACATTAATAAATATAATTTTTAAAATGTGTTCTGTACCAGTCACTTTGTAATAACATTTTAAATAATATTTTAATCTCTACAACAATTCTGCACTTTACAGTTAAAAAATAGATTCAAAGACATTAAGTAGTCCAATATCCATAACTAATCAGTGGTTGACAAGTTCCACCTAACCATCTATTATACCTCTGCTGTATAGTATAGTATATATATAATGTACAGTATATATACATATATTTAAGGGAAGATTATTTTTTAGTCTCTTCTTAGCAGTATAAAAGTATTTTATTGAGATGTAATTGATATATCAGTTTTTTATTTTTATTTTTATATATTTTTTTATCCTCACCCGAGGACATTTTTCCATTTTTTGTTCAGATAGAGCAGGAGGGAGAGAGAGGAAGAGAGAGAGAGAGAAACATCGATGTGAAGGGACACATCGAGTGGCTGCCACCCGCACGACCAACCAGGGCCGAGGACTAACTGCAACCGAGGTACGTGCCCTTAGCGGGAACCGAACCCAGGTCTCTCTGTACCGCAGGTCGACGCTCCAACTGCTGAGCCAAACCGGCCAGGGCTGATATATCAGTTTATAACAATGTTACAATTGACATATAACATGTCAGATATAATTGACATATTACAGGTGCACAACATAATGATTCGATATATTTGTATATTGTGAAGAGATTGCTGCAGTAAGTCTAGTTAACCGTCCATCACCACCCATAGCAACTTTCAAATATATAATACAGTATTATTTACTATAGTCACAATGCTGTACATAACATCCCCAGGACTTATTTTATAACTGAAGTTTTACCTTTGACGTCCTTCACCCATTTCACCCACTCCTTACTCCTGCCTCTGGTAGCCACTGGTCACTATCTTTCTGTATGTAGTATTTGTTTTTTAATATTTTTTTCTTTATTGATTTTAGAGAGAGAGGAAGGGCGAGGAGAGAGAGAGAGAGAACATTGATTGGCTGCCTCCTTGGAATTTGGCCCACAACCTGGGCATGTGCCCTGACCAGGAATCGAACTGGCAACCTTTTGGTGCATGGCTCGACGCTCAACCACTGAGCCACACCGGCCGGGCTGTTTGTAGTATTTGTTACATATATAAAAATAATATGTAACATGGAAGTTATCAAGTATACTAATAAAACACCTATGTACCCACTCCCTAATTAAGAACTAGAACATCTCTGGTAGGATTGACTCAACATGAAGTGTCTCTTCTCAATTCCAATTCCCAGCCTATCCTTCCGAGAGGTAAGTATCCTGAATCAATCATTCCTTTGCTTTTATTTCCCCTTTGTTTTTATACATACATCCCTAAGCTACATGTTGTTTACTTTTGTTGGTCAGCTTTATAAAATATAGTATCATAGTGCTTTGTGGTCTTAGGTAATTTGATCTTTTCATTCAATAGATTCATTTTTGTAATCCACCCCCCCCCCCCCAACTGTATTAGTCTCTTTATTTTGGTAATCTTGTTTGTAGGTGATGAAATGGCTAAGGAATCCGCTTCAAATATTGGCTTTGCTGTGAGCATGGTCTTTTCCTTCACTTCAACTCAGAATTCAGACCTTTGGTCCTTGTGTTTTTATATCCCAGGCCCAGAGTCATTTTCACTGCTAAGTATCTGAGGACAGGCTGATGCTTCATAGTGGTGGTGCACAGCCAGGCTTTTCTTCCTCCAGGAACCTCTACAGGAGGAATTTAAATAATTTATTAAACTAAGAGGTGTTCTCTCTGAGTTTATATGCATTTTGCATTCAGACAACCAATGTGACATGTTTTTCTTAAAAACATGCCTCCGCTCCAAATAAATCAAGTTCAAAATTAATCAAGAGCTCAAGACAGCATTGGTCCTGTTTGTCTAGTCCTGGTGTGTGGATGAAAGCTGCAGCCAGTTATGATGACAGGTGGTGGGTCAAGTTGACAGATTGTTTAACACTTTTCCATGTCGAGCCATCCTTATAGAAAACCACATATGGGTCACACCATCCTCACGGTGGGCCAGCAGAGCAGCCGTGCCATCTAGGCTCATGCTGTCACCAATACAGAACTGGTAGTTTTGCCCTGGCCGGTTTGGCTCAGCGGTTAGAGCGTCAGCCTGCAGTCCAGAGAGACCCGGGTTCGGTTCCCGCTAAGGGCATGTACCTCGGTTGCAGTTTGTCCCCGGCCCTGATTGGGTTGTGTTGGTGGCGACCACTCGATGTGTCCCTTTCACGTCGATGTCTCTCTCTCTCTCTCTCTCCCCCTCCCTCCCTCCCTCCCACTCTATCTGAACAAAATATCAAAAAATGTCCTCTGGTGAGGATAGAAAAAAAGAACTGGTAGATTTGAAATTAGCAAGGATGTGCTGGATTGTTCTGCAGCCCTGTCATAAAAGGCTTGACTCTTGCCTGGCTGGTGTGGCTCAGTGGTTGAGCATAGCCCATGTGCCAAGAAGCTGCCAGTTCGATTCCCAGTCAGGGCACATGCCCAGGTTTTGGGCCGAACCCCCAGTGGGGGCATGCAGGAGGCGGCCAATCGATGTTCTCTCTCATTGATGTTTCTATCTCTCCCTCTCTCTCTAAAATGAATAAAGAAAAATAAACTTAAAAAAAATAATAATAAAAGGTTTGACTCTTGGCTGGTCTCTGTTCTTCAGGCTTCTCTTTCACTGATTTCGCGTCATCTTTGACGTACTTCTGGTAGACGTCTTCTGAGAAGCTGGTTTCCTGCAAATGATGGTTCATGACACTGTCAGCACCGGTGATGACTGTGTTTTCCGTACCCTCGCCCTCGGGACCTTCAGCGGAGGCCCTTCCACCACTGACCGAGTCATCAGTGTTACGGAAGAACATCTCTTCGTGACTGATGAGGTCCCGGTACCTGGTCATGGGGACGGCTGGGAGGAGACCGGGATGACGCTAGTGGAGGTGGTGCTCGGGGATAAAGCTGTGATTTATGTGGTTTTCCTTTGGCTTTGACAGGGCTAACATGAACGTTCATATTGTATATAGTTTCTTGGAACACATGTAGAAGATCTTTAAAATTTTAGAATATATACCTAGAAGTAGAGTTGGCTGTAGGTTTATGTGCCTGGTCAGCTTTATATCAGTTTTATAAGCAATGCCAAGTTTTCCCAAAATGGCGTGCCAGTTTACAATATGGTTTATCACTTACTTGCTATTGTAAGAACTGATCCTTGCCAAGCTGGTAGGTATAATATGATATTTTATATTGTGGCTTTAATTTTTTTCCTTATTGATTGAACATATTTCCATGATTATTAGTCATTTCTGTTTCTTCTATGAAATATTTCTTGATGTCTTTTGTCTATATTTTTATTGTTTACTATTTTTTATATTTACTAGAGTTCTTCATAATAGTATACTAATATTTCCATTTCTTTTCTTTTTCTTTTTTTTATCTCATCCCTCCCTCCATCCACCTCTGAAGTTTGTCAGTCTGAACCATACTCCTTTCTATATCTCTGGGTCTATTTTGCCCAACTTATTTTGCTCATTATATTGCACAAATAAGTGAGATCATGTGGTATTTTTCTTTCTCGATTGGCTTATTTCACTTAGCATAATACTCTCCAGGTCCCTCTATGTTGTCTTAAAGGATAAGAGATCTCTCTTTCTGACAGCTGCATAGTATTCCATTGTGTATATGTACCACAGCTTTTTTATTCACTCATCTATTGATGGACATTTGGGCTGTTTCCAGATCTTAGCTATTGTAAATAGTGCTGCTACGAACATAGGGGTACATATATTGTTTCTGATTGGTGTTTCAGGCTTTTTAGGATATATTCCTAAAAGTGGGGTCACTGAGTCAAATGGCAGTTCAGTTCTTAATTTTTTGAGAAAACACCATATTGTTTTCCATAGTGGCTGCACCAATCTGCATTCCCACCTGCAGTGTACTAGAGTCCCCTTTTCTCCACGAGCACTTGTTTTGTGATGATTTGCTGATGGCAGCCATTCTGACAGGTGTGAAGTGATACCTCATAGTCACTTTAATTAGCATCTCTCTGATGATTAGTGACTTTGAGCATTTTTTCATATGTCTCTTGGCCATTTATGTGTCCTGTTTGAAGAGGTGTCTATTTAGTTCCTCTGCCCTTTTTTTTTTTTTATCCTCACCCGAGGATATTTTTCCATTTTTTGTACAGATAGAATGGGAGGGAGAGAGAGGAAGGGAGAGAGAGTGAGAAACATTGACGTGAAGGGACACATCGAGTGGCTGCCACCCGCACAACCAACCGGGGCCAGGGACAAACTGCAACCAAAGTACGTGCCCCTAGCGGGAACCGAACCCGGGTCTCTCGGGACCACAGGCCGACGCTCTAACCGCTGAGCCAAACTGGCCAGGGCCTCTGCCCATTTTTTAATTGGGTTCTTTGTCTTCCTTTTGTTGAGTTGTATGAGCACTCTATATATATTGGGAATTAACCCCTTATCTGATACATCATTGGCAATTATGCTCTGCCATATAGTGGGTTCCCTTTCCTTTTTTTTTTTTTTTTTTTTAATCCTCACCTGAGGACATTTTTCCATTTTTTGTTCAGATGGAGTAAGAGGGAGAGAGAGAGAGAAACATCGACGTGAAAGGGACACATCGAGTGGCTGCCACCCATATAACCCAACCAGGGCCAGGGACAAACTGCAACCAAGGTACATGCCCTTAGTGGGAACCGAACCTGGGTCTCCCTGGACTGCAGGCCGACGCTCTAACCGCTGAGCCAAACTGGCCAGGGCTCCCTTTCCATTTTGATGCTTGTTTCTTTTGCTGTGCAGAAGCTTTTTAGTTTGATGTAGTCCCATATATTAATTTTTTCCATTGTTTCTCTTTCCTTAGGCGTGTGTCAGTGAAAATTCTGTGTGTGATGGTTGAAATTTTGTTGCCTACATCTTCTAGGATTTTTATGCATTCACAAGTCACATTTAAGTATTTTATCCATTTTGAGTTTATTCTTATGTATGGTTGGTGATTTAGTTTCATTTTTTTGCATGTAGCTGTCCAGTTTTCCCAACCGCAGGCCGATGCTCTAACCGCTGAGCCAAACTGGCCAGGGCGAGTTTAGTAGACTTTTAAAGAAAATACTAAACTTATCTGTAGTGGCTATACTATATTATATTCCTGTTGGTGCACTAGGAGGTTTCTGGTTTCTCTTCATTCTCTCCAACGCTTCATTCTTTTTCTTTTCTTTTTAAAAAAAAAATGTTTCATTGATTTTTTTAGAGAAAGGAAGGGAGAGAGAGATAGAAACATCTATGTGAGACAGAAACATCATCAGCTGCCTCCTGCACACCTTCCACCGGGGATCGAGCCCACAACCCAGGCATGTGCCCTGACCGGGAATTGAACCAGGACCTCTCAGTCCATAGGATGATGCTCAGTCCACTGCAGCCTCTCTCCTGGGTGTGGAGTGGTGTCGCCTGCAGTACTTTTTCCCTAAAGGAACGGTTGCTCTCTAGTGGTGCATTCTGCACATTACACTTGGAACAAGGGCACTAATGAGAAGCCTAAAGTTAAAACTTGTAAAATTTTACATTCATTTCACGTTGTGCCAGCACTGGTCAGCACACAGTGCGATCTGAGGCCCGGGTTCAGATGTTCTCCTTATTACCACTGGAATAATCCTCAGGAGCTGGCTGGCACACTGTGGCTTTTATTCAATCCCTGGAGGTGCATTTTAGTCCCAACTAAGCTTTTGTGCTTCCGATCTCATCCACTCCATGCTCAGATCTTTTGGTGTAAAGTTTGCACCTGTGGCGTGTCCAACCCGATGAAGAAGGGAGGGAAAGACCAGAAACAGTTTTGTTGACTCAAACCTACCTCATTCTTTCAAAGCAGAATCAGAGGAGTAAACAGTTCTTACTAGTGGAATGAATGTAATTTTTTTAAAAAATGAATTGACCACAATGAAATGTCTGGTGGCTCTTTGGTATTCTTAGCTAACACTTTGTAAATGTGCCTGGAGAGTTGAGAGAACACTCGGCTGCCCCCGGCTCCCAGGGCGCCGCTGAAGCTGCACAGTAGGAACCGGGGAGAGGGAGCTGAGGACGGATCTGGCCAGGAATGCAAGAGGGAAGCAGAGAGACCAGGCTCTAGGAACTTAGGGTAGTAAAATCAAATCTTTAATGGTTCGAAGTAAGAATTTACAAGTTTTGCTTTAAACAGGATATCTCTTTTTTTTTTTTTTTTTTTTTAGAAAGTGGAGAGACTACATGTGTGAAGTTTTCCTAACTTCGTTAGCACAATGTATTTTACTGTCCTGACATATGCCTGTAAAATGGTCATGTTTACATGTATATGCACACATGCTTGAGCACAGTAGAGAGCATCAGGGATGGACCTGCCTATGGCTGGTTTTCTGCTCCAGTCATATGCAGGCCCGAGGAAGAAGGACAAGTCGTCCATCTGGGTGACATTTTGATACACAGTAATTCTACCCCATTGTAACTACGATTCAGTACACTTGTTATCCGCCAGGGCGGGTAAAGAGGGACGCGGTTTGGATAGGAGAAACTTTATTCAACTTCAGGATAAGAACTGGATTTGAGAAGGGAAAACAATTATTCTAAGATTAAAGTAATTTAAAAATTTTTTCTTTATTGATTTTTTTAGAGAGAAAGGGAGAGAGAGAGAGAGAGAGAGAGAGAGAGAGGTAGAAACATTGATGACAGAGAACATCGACTGGCCACCTCCCGCATGCCCCCAAATGGGGATCGGGCCCACAGCCTGGGCATGTGCCCTGACTGGGAATCAAATCGGCGACCTCTTGGTGCGTGGGTCGACGCTCAACAACTGAGCCACACCGGCTGGGCTAAGATTAAAATAATTTTAAATATGTATCAGAAATTTAAAAATGATATAATATTGCTTTTTAAAGTATAGGAGGAGATTTTAATTAATCCAGTGATCCTGCCATTGTTGTCAAAACAAAACAATTGAGGAAGATATTGGAATTATTTAACAGGGACAAATTTTTATCCTGTTTTGGAACCAAGTCTGGGATGTATGTGGACGGTATTGTTTAATTCTTCTCAGAAAAACTACCAATCAGTAGGTACAGTAGGGAGCCCATCTAGTTCTACAAACAGATTTGAAGACACTGTCATACATTAGTTTTGAACAATGTAATGCCCTCCTCCTGTTCCAGATGGTTACTTTGAAAGAGAGTGGTCTTTTGCCCTGGCCGGTTTGGCTCAGCGGTTAGAGCATCGGCCTGCGGTCCAGAGAGACCAGGGTTTGGTTCCCGCTCGGGGCATGTACCTCTGTTGCAGTTTGTCCCCGGCCCTGGTTGGTCATGCGGGTGGCAGCCACTAGATGTGTCCCTTTCACGTCGATGTTTTTTTTTTTTCTCTCTCTCTCTCCCTCCCACTCTATCTGAACAAAAAATGGAAAAATGTCTTTGGGTGAGGATTAAATAAATAAATAAAAATAAAAACATGTGACGTACATATAAAAAAAAAAAAAAAGAGAGTGGTCTTTTTAGTTCTGTGTATCTCTTTAACACATCGTATTTAATAGGGAAATACCAGATTGCTAATACTTTTCACTCCAGAGACTTGGATAGCATGTATCCCAACTCCTTCCTTTTTTGTTACAGGGGAGAAGACGAGGCACCTGACATTCGGGTACCTTGCACAAGGTAGCCGTCGATGGCTCTGACTTCTGATTGGTTGTGTGGTCTGGACACTGGAGACAGTGTCAGCAGGGTCCTGGGCAGTCAGCCTTCAGAGTCACTAGTTTCTGAGCTGAGGTCTTGTTCCCACCCTCTAGTCTTCAGTTTGGAGGAGGGCCCTGCGGGAATTCACGCTGTTGCCTATTTTAATTATTTTGTATATGCTGAGAATTTAAGCTTTGAAGTTTATCTTCTTCA